GTGGGGAGTGTGCCCCCTAGGGGGATCAAGTGTAATTGCAAGGAGTGAGTGGTAGTGATAAGTAGCATAAATTTCCAATTTTAAAAGGTATTTTTTTAAAGAAATATGTTGATAGAGATGTTGAGATTTATAATAGGGCAAAATGGCTAAACTCAAAATAATGACACCCTAACCTCTTAACATCCACCTCATTTTGGGTAATCCTCGCCTATTTTGCATACCCAAATGAAAAGCAAATAACTTAGATACTGTAAGCAAAAATTACATGTGTAATACATTATTTGAAAGCTAACATCCTCTTGTTTCCTAATTTATAAATAAAAGTTGAGTGACTACAACAGAAACCAACCTGCATCAGTTCAAACATGACTCAAAGTTGTTTATTCTCGGAAATGATAGGTCTAACAGCAGTAATAAGGTCATTCTTGAGAAAAAAAACAGGTTTTATTGTATTATATTTGTTTTACATCATGTCAACCACAAATGCAGTAAATTTTAGACCTCTAGCTATAAAAGTTCCAGAGCTGTGGGGTAAGAAAACATTTGGTAAAACAAAATTAAAAAAACACCAGATCAACTCAAAAACAATTTTCCTCCCAATATATCCCAGCCAGCCAACTGCATGGATCCACCACACCACTGGTCCCAGAAACAGGAAGTCCCTCCCAGCTTCCCATTTTATAGATGCTCAGGCTACGGAGAGAGTGACACCTACTGGTGCCGCCTGTTACTCATACATTCCATTCAGTTCCACTCAATTCAAAAATACTTTATTAATCCCAACTGAAAATTAAATGGTACCAAATCAGATATATATAACGTCGTTGCCATAAATGCACATCCACCCAGACATCTCTACAGCAGCAGCACCTACTCCATAAAAACCTGCTATAAATTGCTGAGCATCTCTCATTTCTGACCTTTCCTCATATTTTTATGAAGTGGTTAGGATGCTGTCGGCTCGCCAATAGAATATAACACAATATAACACATGGATAGTAGAGAAGTGGATTAGGGCCACTGGGAAAAAAATAAATAAAATTTTACTGATTTTTAAATTTCATTTCAGTCTAATATGAGAAAAAAGTCAGAATTCTGACTTTAATCTCTGAATTCTGACTGAATTCTGACAGCTAACAAACATGTTAGCATCAAGCCATAGCTTGTCTTAATCACCTTCTGCTCTTCGATTAATGAAATAGCATCACCGGGTTCCTCTTGGGCACTTAGCTTTCACACTTTGTCTGACTTGTAAGCTACTTTGAAAAAAGGAACCTTCTCAGTCCGCAACGCCTTATTATAATGGTTTAAAACCTACCTACTTATGCTTTACTTATTTTTTAATTTGTCCTGAAATATTCTTTGTTCTTTAGGTTTTTTGTCAACTTTCCATCTGCGAAGCAGTATTTCAGCCAGTTCCAAGACATGGAGGACCCTGAGGAGATGGAGCAAAGCAGCCAACTGAGGCAGCACGCCTGCAGGGTGATGAACGCCCTCAACACGGTGGTGGAGAACCTGAATGACCCAGAGAAGGTGTCCTCAGTGCTGGCCCTGGTGGGGAAGGCCCATGCCATCAAACACAAAGTGGAACCAATTTATTTTAAGGTAGGAACTGAAAACTAAATCATTAATTTTTCATTAATTTATTTAGGTCAGATATTTCTGTTTTAGACTTTCTTTCTCCATTTAATTTTACATACCTGCATTTATTTTGACAAGCAGGTAGTGTTAACTTTAATATTCTGGAATCAGTTAGTAGTTTGTAGAGGCAAAATGCTTAAAATGTACCCAATTCAGACGCCTTTTCTTCCTTTTGCATGAAATCTGTAATTCACTGCAGCTCAGTTAATGATCCTGGAAGTCAGCAGAAACGAGACTCAGTCGCTTTCTACAAGTTTCCCTCAAAATTAGATCCTACTTAAATAGTTTTTCTCTCCTTGCGGTCATGCAACAGCCTTCAGATGAACAGAGATTGGACAATTATGAGAAAGTGGCTGAAGGCGATATTACTCTAATACACAATGCACCTGCTAGATATAGAGTTATAGAGAAGAGTAGAAAAGAATTA